GACGCTGTTCCCAGCAGGAATCATCCAGGAAACTATAATATTCCCGATGGGGCGAACTCATTTTGAATCTTCCACATGGGTAGAAACATATTCTTCAATCAGTTTCCGTATGAATGTCATCACGTTAGGAACGTTCTACCAACAAACCCTTGGGAACATTATTTCTCGAAGCCAGATGGGTGTCTGCTTCCTAGAAGTCCACAGAATACAATTATCGTCTCGGGAGTTCATAATTAATACTAGCTCCTCTAGAGCGCAGAGATGGACACTGAACGACTCACTTGCCGAGCTCGAGAGTGTGATGGTGGCTCGTATGAGCCTGCAGAGGTCGTGGATAATGATGCCCAATGGGATCCATTGGAGTGCCTGACGGCGGCTGACCATCCACCAGCCGGAACACATTCAGCTGACCGATACTAAGCAAAGTAGTGCACAAGGTGCGCAATCCAACTGATGAATTTGCCCAAAGACGAGCGTTAATGAGAGAAAACAGTTCGTGCTTAACCACAGCATCATAGCAGCTGTATCAATGCCGTCGTGATCCCTATTACTACCCCGAAAGTCCTGGTATGACCTTTAGGGCTGGCGGAGGGCATTCGGGTCCATGGTCCTCAAGATCGAGCAGCTTGGATACTTGTTGAGCTATTACTGACCTTAGAGGAGTCGACGACATCGGATGGCTAAGAAGTACCCTGAAGCTCTTCTCTATACAACCCTACACCAAACACATGATGATGATCAGAGAGAATAGCCCATAATATAGTTTCACCACCCGTTTTACGCGGAATGACGTATTACTCCGTGAAATTCCGAGAAATATGTTTTTCACTAGTGTTTTCATACCACGGCTCGCGAAACTCCAATGCTAATAGTACGAGTTGCTATGGCTCTGCCTCGCACTGGCACATGTATCACGTACTCATGCATCTGGCGTCATCGATAAGTGAATGGCCGACCCTCCTAAGTCAATGCTTCACCAACGATATAATTCTCAATGTTACTACTACTCCCAAACTTTCTTCCAAAGTAGTCGCTATGGAGATTCCGCTGGTCACCGAGGCAGAGAACCATCCAGGAACCTATAATGTTCCCGGGAGATCATATTTTGAATTTTCCACGTATGGCTAGGAACACATTCTTCAGTCAGTTTTCCCATTTAGATGTCATCACACTAGGAACATTTTTCCCATTTTTTCTCAACCCCTCGAGGACGTTATTTCTCAACGCTTCATGAGTCCCCCCCCTGCGCCGAGGGCGATGCCAAACCATAACAGCTTGAGTACTATAGCAATACTAATGACCTCATACGCAGTGATTCTTCTTGGAGTAAATACCAGTAGCAACAGCAGGAGCTCAAACTTTCTCGCTTATCAACTCTCGCCTTCACGAGAGGCCCATAAGACAGACCTTCACAGCGAAGGTTACTCTAACCGCATAAACGACCACATAAAGCGACCAATGGCGATCACAGATTTACTTCCCAAGTCGCGACAGCCAAACTCTCCAGCGATCCCTCCGATGACCACAAGCCTTGACTCCTACTACTTCTCCGTCCGAGTTTACCCCCACAGGTGTCCTCTCCAGCACAATTAGATGTCCCCGTCTCCTCCATAAACTGCTAATTCACAACTAACTACTGAGCACAACTAGGCATCAGAAACGGATCTTTCTAACCATGCTCATTACAATCACAATCAATAGTCTTGGACCATCGCTTCGTCCACCAACCTCTCCCGTCGAAGCTCCTCAGCTTTACTGTACGCCTCATAACGAGTTAGCTGAGGAGTGGTATTAATAATATCATCCACAGAGTATTCCTTACATCCTTCCGAATAGATTTTTTGCCCATATGCAGCCGCTTCTTTCGATATGGGCGCATATCCTTGATACACTTCAAGACAGGTGCCGGCAGCTTGGCTATACCATAATTATCATCAAAGAAATGACTCGTACGTATAACACCTGAAGGGAATCAGCATAACCCGATAGTTGGGCGCCTGAGGACAACTAAGAGTGCACTGTCCCAATACACAATCACCTGTAAATAGCTACATAGCCTTGTCCCTTAGCCAATGTATCGCTTCTAACTTATCTGTATTCTACCTACCTCGTTCTGCTCTACTCGATGAGTAGAACAGTGCACGAGACATGTAACGACAGCAATAATAGTAAATTCGTGCTACTTTCCTTATTAAACGCATCCCCCCAAATACAATTCGACATTTTCACTCCATTACATTATAGTTTCACAGGAGTTTCACCACCCGTTTTACGTGAAGTGGCGTAAAACTCGGTGAAAAACGCCATATTCGCGGTGATATGCAGTG